CCCCTTCTGCCCTTCCTTCCGGCACCCACTCATCACCCAGACATCCTTGCAGATGGGGAGACAAAGCCGAGGCAGGGCAGGGGAGAGGCAGGCAGAAGGGCCCGGCTCCCCTCAGCCTCACGGGGCAGCAGAGGGCAGGTGGGCGCGGTGCCCCCCCGGGAGGCTGAGCCAGTCCAGGTGCGGGTGCGGGATGCAGGGCAGGGTAGGGCCGTGGCTGAGGTAGGAGGAGGTCCTCAGCACCCTGGGGTTTCCGCTGGCATCACCGCCAGCTCAGGGTGAGGCAGGGCCCTCTGGGCTCGCGCCCACTGGAGGGAAAGGGAAAGGGACGGCCCCCTGGTGGCCCCCAGGCCTGCAGCCAGTGGAGTGCGCCCGTGGTGATGGACAGGAGGCCTCCCATCAGGGAATCGGATCCCAGGCGGCCTGGGCAGAGCCTCCGAGCCTACCCAGCCCTCACTTGGCAGGCGCAATAGTAGGGCCCTTGGAAGCCCAGGGAAGCCCTCACCCAGGCTGTGGGTGGGTGGGTGCCTGACACGCAGCTCGGTACCCATCCCGTGATTCAAACCCACTTGCCTGCTCCTGAAACCTACAGTTCTAGCTGGGGGGACTGGAGCGCTTCTCAGGGTGCTGACTCTCACCAGCCCAGGAGGGCCCAGGTCAGGTGCCCGCCCCCGTGTCACACAGCCCATGTCAACAGTGGGTGGTGCGTGGAGAGCCGGAGGGGCCAGGTCTGCTCCAGGCACAGGGGGACTCCCTTTGTGTCCAGGTCAGATACCTCGCAGCCAGGGGACGCTGGCTAGTCCCGGTGCCTCTGGAGTGGCTCTCAGCACCCAGCCTCTCCCCTTCTTGGCATCCCCCATGTTGGCATCTGAATGGTGTCATTAAAAGGGCACACCGTGCTGGGTTCCAGTCCTGGTTCTGCCACTAGTGTGACCTGAGACAAATGACTTCATCTGACCAAGCGTCGGTGATCTCACATACAAAATGGGTAAATCCCAGTTGCTATTTTCTAGGGTTAAGTAAAAATGAGATGGTATTGGCCACGAAAAGCCTTAGCACAGGACCCAACACGTGGTGAGAGCTCCTCCGTGTGTTTAAACTATTGTCATTCGTTAAGCCTTAGAGTCCTAAATGGAGTAAAAGTGTCACCAAGAAATGCCAGGCATCGCAGCAGGCACCGGCAGGCCCGCGCCTCTCCTGCCGGTGCGCAGCTCAGCCTCCGGCCCTCGTCGGGGTGGCCCCGTGGGGCTCCGGTCTGTGTACTCAGGACATGTTTGGTCAACACGTGAATGAATCCGTGAGTGTCCTCACTCACCTCTGTGGGCTTCTCCAGCACCCCCCTCACTCCCGCTGACCCGTCAGGAAAGGACTGGATCAGGACTGAATCGTTCAGGAATCCCCGACATCCTTGGGGCCAGGACCCCTTCAGTGCCAAGTCTGCAGCTGTGTGGGACATAGTATTTTGGGGATGCCTGCAATGCCTTTCCTGGGGGTACCAGTTACAGGAGTAGGGAGGGAAGGGGAGAGGGAGAGGTGTGGCCTGTCCCTGAGCCAAAACTGACTCACCCCCCCTCCTTTGGAGGGCAACCGGGGCATCACCCGGTGCCAGCCTGCCCGCCTCCCAGCCATATCCCTTGGGGGCTGGCCTGCCACCCTCTGTGGATGTGGCCTGGAGTCTGGGAGACCAGAGAGGGCGGCAAAGCAATGAACTCACCGGTCTCCACCATCCTGCTGGGGAGGAGGGCATAGGTGGTCATAGCCCATTACACAGAGAGGCGGCGGCCTTTTCCCAAGGCCAGGCGGCTGGCCACTTGGAAGCCCCCATCCTGACTCCCAGCCTTGCTCTCTGCAGGAGGCAGGGAGCCCCGTGGGCCAGGAGACCTTCCTGTGGGTCTGGCTGCATTTCCACCCCAAAGCTCCGCCTCCTCCCAGAGCTCTCCTGCCCTCTCCATCCTCTGGTCTCTGTTTAATGAGTGCCCCTTGTCACCAGCCCATGAAATTCTGAAAGGCAGGGGTGGGATTTCCTTCTCGCCTAGATGGCTCTGGGGCTCAGGGGGCAGGAGTCTCCTGTGACCTCTGCCCTGCCCTCACGGGCAAGCCCTGTCTGAGCGCCACAGGGGAGCGGGAGGTCCCCTGCTGGAAGTCAGAGGGCAGCCACCTGCGCCCCCACCCTGTAGAAATCCTGGAAGGGGAGCTGCCCATGCCTCTCCTTTCTTCTTCCTCTCCCCAAGTGCCAACAGCCCACCCTGTTTAGGATTTGGCAGCAGAAAGGCACGGTCTTTATCCCAGCCCCCACCCCAACCCACCTGGCAGCTCCGAGCCTGCTGCCTTTGCCCAGACATGGCAGAGGGGCACTGGCAGCTTGGAGATGGAGCTGATTTTCCCCTTGGCAGTGGGGAAGATGGGGGGGGGCTTGGCCACCCCCTGGATGAGGGGAGAGGGCAGGGATGCAAGTCTAGACAAGAGGCAGAGGGAGAAGGTGACTTCCCTCCTCCCCCTGCGTGCGGGGGTCACCATATCCAGCTGGGGGTGGGGGGAGGGTGGGGGGTGGCTGTGTGTAAAGTCAGTTGTCCCTGCTCCCACTTGGCCTGGGTCCCCATTTCAGGGCCGCAGGCCCTCAGCTCCTGCAAAGCAATGGTTTCTGGACTCCCGAGGTGAGTATTTGCTGGGCTTGTAGCTGGGGGGCGGTGCTCCCCTTCCACTGCGGTCTGTTCCTCTTCCTCCCTGGGCTCCTGCCTCCTCCCTTCCTCCCTTCTCCCACCCATTTACTTTCCTGCCCTTCCCTTCTCTTTTCTCCCTCCTCTTCTCTCAGCCCCCCACCTCCCTCCTTCAGCTCCCCTCTCCCTCTCTTCCCTTTCTCTCCCGGCCCCCCCTCCTCTCCCGTGTGGGGGCTGCTTTCTCCCTGACTCAGCAAGGTGCTTTATAAGGTGCTGAGGGGGCTCAGCCAAATCCAAACCACATTGTCTGTGCAGAGACTCTCCGCAAGGAGCAGGCTACAAACGAGACGATGACGAACCGCACCCCCTTCTTCCCCACCGTTCGTGGCTCCCTCCTTCAGAAAGGGAGGCTGCTTGAGGACCTCATGGCTGGCCTCAGTGCCAGTCACCCACTGGGCATCTGCCTTCTTGACCTTGGTGTGGGCATCAAAAGATCTCAGGGCTCACCCGCCAAGAATGTCATTGAGACTGCAGAGTTCTGGCTGGGGTGGAGGGGGGGGGTTGGGGGGAAAGGGAGGCCCTGCGCACTTTTCAGAAAGACAGCCCCCCCAAGACAGGTTTCCTTAAAGCTGCTACTGATGCTCCAGCAAGCCCCCTGCCCCCACCCCCAAGCCAGCTCCCCTTTCCCTGCTCTTTTTCTCCTTGTTTAGAAAGAAGAAAGAAAGAAAGGAGGAAAAAAAAAAACCCCAACAACAAAGTCGGTCCCACTCCAGTGAGGTAATTGAAAACAAACTTCTTCCCCACCCCCCCATCCCCCCCCCACCCCGGTCCACACAGTGCAGAAAAGGGAAGAACCCAGCACTGGCCCTGGGAACCCAGCACTGGTCCTGAGCGTGCCGCCTGCTCTCACCCGCAGGCCGGAGCGGCTGTGGCAGGGCTGGCTGGGTGCCCTCCTTTCTCCGGGGGGCACACGGGGGCAGGAGCGTGGGGTCAAGGATCTGATGCTGCTCCCGGAAGAGGAATCACCTTCCAGGGTAGGCCTGCCGCCACCTCTCCCACTTTGAAAAAACAAATAAACAACAGAAGCAACTTATTACCAAATGGTTTAATTGGTGGTCTGGGTCTGGAGTACTCAAGCCTTGGAGACCGAATGACTGTCCCCCAAGAAGTCCCCAAAAGGAGATGTCTGGAAGCCCCAGACGGAGAGCCGCTTCCTGGTTTCCTCTGCACTCTCCCTGGCAGCTGGCTGTAGGGGGAGGAAGGGGGCAGAAAGGAGACAGTCCTGGGAGGGTCTAGGCTTAAGGGTCCCCCAGGTATCCCGCCCAGCACGTCCCAGCCCAGGCCCGGGGAAGGAAGGAGGGAGAGCAAGCACTACCTCCTACCCCTGGAAAACACCAACAGCCCCAAACCCCGGAGGCGACAGAAAGCCCAACGTCTTTACGGGGGAGCGTTTCACAAATGGGGACTCTGGGTCTGTCCATCGCCTTGAATGGGAGCGTTCCCGCTGAGTCACCCGTGCAGCCTCTGGTGTTGAAACTGGTCCGGTGCCTCGTGCTGATTAATGAACCACGATTCCCCCACCCCTGTGCGCTTTCCCGGCCGCTGGGAAGAGCGGAGAACCTTGTGAACCTGAGAGGAAAACCCTCGGCCAAGGGCCCTCCGCTCTCCTCCGAGCTGGGCAGCGGGCCTGGGGCGCCCTCCCCCTCCCCCGCCCCGAGGGGCGTTGTGAGGGGTTAGTCACCTGCCCCAGCCCCGCGCCTCACTTAGCCCCAGCTTTTGGAACCAGGACTGGCGGCGGGACAATAGGCAAGGGGGGCGGTCAGCCCAGACAAAGGGCAGCAGGAAAAACACCATCACTTGCTACGAGGCCAGCTCGCTGGCATTTGGGAGAATGTGTCATTGCATTTACTCAAGGGGGAGGGGGAGGAGAGGGAAGGTTAGAGATGAGGAGTCAGAGGTAGGGTGAGAGCGGGGACCCCGCACCCCAGGTCGACGCCGTCGGAGGAGGAAAGGAGAGGGCGGCCCGCTCCCCAGGCTCGGGGAGTCTGCAGACCGACTGATGCCCTCCCCGCCCCCTCCCCCAGGAGGCCCAGGGTGGTACCGCCGCAGCCTCGCCTCACCTCACCCCCCCTCGGTGTTGTGGGAGGGAGAGGAGCCCCAGAAGCCCTCCCTTCCCTCCTCCCCCCTCCTCCCCCCACCCCGGGGAGGGCCGCTACAATTTGTGGTTACAGCTTTACACGTCAGAAAAAAAAAAAAAAAAAAAGTTTGCAGAATGTCCCACACCGAAAAAAAAAAAATCCGAAACCGAGCGAAAAAAACCTGCGAGTGGGCCTGGCGGATGGGATTATTAAAGCTTCGCCGGAGCCGCGGCTCGCCCTCCCACTCCGCCAGCCTCCGGGAGAGGAGCCGCGCCCGGCCGGCCCGGCCCCCAGCCCCATGGACCTCCGAGCAGGTAGGAGCCCGGCGTCCGAGGCCCCGGCCCCCGCCCCCGCCCGGGAGCCGCGAGATCCGTTTCCCGTGCTTCCCCCGGGAGCCCCCAGCCGGGGCCGGGCGGGGGAGCCGGGGCGCGGGCCGGGGGTGGGGGGTGGGGGGGCGAGGCACGGCCGGGCGCCCTCGAGAGGGGCCGGGCGGGGACGCGGCATTCCTGAAGTCCGCTCGCCGGCGCCGGGAGGTGGCCGGGAGCGCGGCGGGAGCCCGCGCGACCCGCTGACCCGGGGAGCCGGCAACCTGGAGCCCCAGCGAGGCGGGGTGCCGGGGATCCCGGCGGAAAGAGCCCCGCGCGAAAGTCGGGGAGAGCGAGTCCCAGGCGGGGAAGCGGGGCTGCGGGAGGGGGACGCGGCGCGCAGGGAGGAGGGGGCCGGGGAGGAAGAGGGGAGAAGGGCGGGGAGCCCGAGGCCGGGCCGGCGGGAGGCGAGGGGAGGCCGACACCTCGGGCCCGCCGCGCTCCCCTCCCCGGCGGCCCGGGGAGGGGAGGGCGGGAAGGAGGGCGGGCGGGAGGAGAGAGGAGGGCGGAGGGCAGAGCCGAGCCTGGTCGGGCCGGGCCGGGCTGCGGGACTCGCGGCTTCCTCGCTGCGCGCCGCGCGGCCGGAGCCCACCATGCTGCCCGCGGCCGGGGAGCCGGCGGCAGGTAGGGGCCCGGGCGGCGGGGCGGGCGGCGGCGGCGGCAGCGAGCCCCCCCCCCCGCCCCCAGCCCGGCCCGCCGTGGCCTGGGAGTGATTAGTGCGGGGGACGGGCGCAGACCGGCCGGACCGGGCAGGAGAAAGTCCGTCACCGGCCGGGGAGCGGCGGCAGCGGCCGCTCGGCCCCGGCGGCCCGCGGGAGGGCGGGCGGGCAGGGCGGGGAGTTGACGCGCGGGAAAGGGCAGCGGCCCGGCCGAGCCCGGAGCCCGGCGCCCCGGACCCCGCCCCCGCCCCCGCCGCCGGGTAGGGAGCGACCGGGCGGGAGCGGGCCGGGGGCGGGGCCGGGGGCGCCGAGGCCACACAGGGGGAAGGCGCCGCCGCCGCGGGGAGGGGGCCGGGAGCGAGAGGTCACCGCCGAGGGGGAGGGCCAGCGAGCTGGCCGCCGCCGCCAAGTTCTCGGGCCGAGCCCCTCGAGGGGAACCCCAGGTTACCCCGGCCTCGCCAGAGTCCCCTCTCTTTCCACCTTCCTTCCCAGTTTCCCCGCACTGTGCTCAGAAGCCCTCCTCCCAGACCCCCTAGTCCCAGAGGACCCCGTCCCAGTTTCGGCCGCTGCCCGGCCTGGCGCTCCCCGCTGGGGTAGGAGGGGGCTGCCTGGACGGGAGGGGAAGCTCCGGAAAGGAGAGAGAAAGTGTGGGTGAGGACACTGGACACACACCTCTGCCAGGCACTCTCTGATCCTGACCTTGACCAGCTGACACCTCCCGGCTTTCATAGCCCCCACAGACACCCTTCCCGGCTTGGAGCAGGCGCAGCCCTTCCCTGGGGACACAGGGATACATTCCTCTGACAGACCAGACCCCCACCCCCACCCTCACCCCCGCGGCGCAGCTCAGCTTGGCTCTGGAACCTTCACTGCCCTGGAGCCCGGCACTCAACCTGAGGAGGAGACAGGCCAATGGCAGTAACTGTCACCTAGCGCCCCCACCCCACATCTCTCTTCCAGACTGGCGTAATGGCTCCCTCTCCCCTCCAGAGCCCCGCACTCCTGCCCCGTTCACACTTGTGCACACCACCCAGCCACACCAGCTGCTCTCTCAGTGACACTTCACATTCCTCCCCACAATCCCACCTGCCTATTCACACCCTGGCTCCTGCCCGCTCCCTCCCCGCCCCTCCCACACCTCTGAATAACTACACCCTTTCTACCCACACGCTTCCCTTCCGGGACAGTTTCCTTCACCGGGTGCCCTGGCCTGGCTCTCAGCTGGCTGCCTAGCGCCTCCCATGGGAACGCCTGGGGTCCTCTTGCAGCACAATCCAGACCCCCCTCACTCAGCGACAGCCCAGCTCTTCTGTCCATATTGAGTTCACAAGGCACGCGGGGGCGGGGGGGGGGCACTAGCCTGCTTCTTTCCCTGGGCCTCAGTTTCTTCTGTCATTTAGGCTGGAAGAGAGGGGCAGGCAGGGGGCTGCTGAAGACAACGGCAGAAATGGAGCCCCCTGGGGTTGGGCTGAGAGGGACTTTAGGGGGCACAGTGCGGCCCTCTCACACAAGCCCAGTCATGAGCTGGTGGCAGAGTGAGGTCTCCGACTTGTGGGCTGTTTCTGTGGGCCTTTCCCTGGGGAGGCAGGTCAGGAGGAGCCCCTGAGGGTCATTTCCTACAGTCTCAGTGCCTGGATCTCACACTACAGCTGGCACACCACCCCCTAAACCACTTCCTTCCCCCCTTCCCCTCAACACATCCCTGCAAGGTCACCAGGAAGCTGGTCCTGGTGTGGCCTGAGGGCATCCCAGGTGCTGTCTCCTGACCCCCCCACATGTGCCCTGCCGAGCCCCAGCCCCCCCCCTCACTGAAGGAGCTCAGCCTGGAGGACGCAGGCCAGGGATCCAGGGGCAGCTGGCTAAAGACACATGGACACGGGGATGCCCGCCTGTGTGGCCGTGTCAGGGTGGCCGTGCGCTTGCGTGGGCTGAGTGTGTGTGTGTGTGTGTGTGTGTGTGTGTGTGCACGCTCATGAGGGGGGCCTAGGTTCCCAGGGCCCAGGGATCTGGATGGAATTAGGGGCCGCTGGGGCGGGGGGCCAAGCTGGGGGGTGGGGGGCTCCAGCAGGAAACGTGAGCTGCACTCATTAGCTCCTCACGTGCTCAGCCGGATTTATAAACACAGGGGAAGACGGGATGTAAACAATCAGTGGGCAGCAGCCAGAGGCAGAGTTGGGGCGGGGGCTGGGCTAGGGGCCGGGGCTGGGGGAGGGGGCCCAGGACACAGCCCCCGCGGCGGCCCAGTCCACCTGCACACCATGGGCCTGGAGAGAAGGATGGAAGAGGGCTCCAGGATGCCCACCTACTTTTCCCGCTAGGGATGCGCACCGCACTGAGTTCCAGGGCTGACAACTAAGCCACAGGTGTTCCCTGCCCCAGATGGCTATCAGTTTGCTGCCTGAGATGTGGGGACGTCTTACCCCGAGTGGGAGCTGTTGTAACAGACTAAGAGCCCTGTCTCCTTTCTCCTTCCTAGCCTCTTCTCCCTCGAGATACCCGAGGCTCCTTCCTTCTTTCTGGCTCTCTCCATGGGCCGGTCAGTCCGATTCTCTGGCTCCTTCCCCTGCCCCCACCTCTCAGCCTGCAGTGACACAGTTACCTCAGAACTGAAATATTCCTGGAAACACCGGCCTCGTCTGGTTAATTTCATGAGCCGTTTTTCTGCCCAGATGACTTAGTTCTTGTTTATCCAAAGGCTTCTCTCCCTGCTGTCCCTGTGTAGGGAGCCAGTTCCCCCCAGGGATGTGCCACAGGGCCCAGAAGGGGAAGGGAAAACAAGGCCCAGAGCTGGGTGCCTGACCCGGTGCCTCCCCGCCCCCTCCACAGCATTGGCAAAACTCAGTCCCACAACTTGGGGACCGAAAGGCTGCCCAAGGCAGGGTGGGGGAAAGAGGGGAGCCCAGCTCCCAATCTGGGCTTCAGCTGGGACCCTCAGCATTGCCGCTCACTGTGAGTGAGGCCAGACTCAGTCCTGAAAGTGACCTCAAGGCTGGAAGGGCTGCCTTCCGCAGGTCTCCACCTCCAAAACTAACCCCGTAGCGTACCCTTAGGATCTTGGAGGGGACTCTGCCAGCTGTCCAGGCTGCGGGCAGAGGAGAAGGGCCTCGGATGTGAGGAACAGAGACTGGAAAGGAACCCGGAGTCAGCTGGGCACCGGAAGGCAGAATGAGGAAAGAAACGCCAGGGGGGAAGCCAGGGGCTGCAGGTGTGGGCAAGGACAAGGGGGCAGTCGCGTGCCTGACCCTGGTCTCTGTCCGAACGCACACACACACACACACACACGCACACACGTGCCCGTGCGCTCAAACCAGGAGTCACTCATCCCTGAGCCCGAGTTCTGAGGCTGGTGTTCCCCCCGCCCCACCCACTCCCACGCTCCATCAGGAAAGTCGCCAGCCACGCATCTTAGGGAGTCAAGACAACGGCCTGGGCCACTGCAGAAGTCTGCACCTGACCCCTATGCTCTGGAAGAGGCATTCCGTACAGTTTGAGTCTTCAACCCTCTGGAAAACCTTGACCCTGCATCATGACTAAATCCACACTTCCCCTGACTCTAAGCACAGTCATAGCGTCAAACCCGTATCCAACTCATTTCTAACTATCACAGCGACACAGGTCAGTATAAAAATTTGAAAGTAGAAAATAGAAAGTAGAAGAAACGACTCACAAGCTCGATGCCTCCCCAAGCTTAAAAGCCAACCCAGCCCGACTCTTAAGTGACCTGCCACGCATTACCCTGTCTGACATCTAAATCAACACGTTAGTAAACCTTAGCCCCAGCCAACCCTGTGCCTGTCCAAACCAAACCACATCCCCCAGCTAGACTCAAACCTCAACCACACTCAGTCAGCCAAATCCCAATAAATGAACCTGAAACTTTAAAAGTAACCCAGTCCTTAAACCTAAGCTAGCCCAATACCAATTATAGCCTTACCCTATCCTAACCCTAATTGCCTTTACCCGGTCCCAGTGCCCACTGAATCCGGGCCTCATGCTCTTCACCTTGGACCTCACCGAAAAGCTGGGAAAATCAGGCTTCCCAGCTGTCTGTGTGTGTCCTCACAGTGGTGACCCCTGGCCTCCGGTATCCCGGGATGTCCAACCCCCCCAGCACCATCAGACGACAAGCCAAGCCATCAAATACATCACATCCCCTCTCTTTCTTTCTTTCGCTCCCCCCACCCTTTTCACTGCAGGCTGATCAAAAGACCTCATTCAGGTCAAACCTTTCCCCAACCAGCCTCCTAGATAAGAGTGGGGCAAACCTCCGCCCTGCGGCAATCGGCACCCGGGAGTCGTAGGCGAGAGTGTGCCCACCACTGCCTGCATGAGCCAGCCCGGAGTCCTTCAGCCTGGCCCCGGTGATCCGACCCTACCCCGCGCCCCCTAGGGCTCTGTTTGGGCCCATCTCAGGGCGGCCTCTCTCGTGCCCTTCCCAGGGCTGGCTGCGGGCAGCTGGCAGCGAGGACATGGGCTGTTTCCCACCTCTGGGCCCCCTAAACCACAGTGTGTCCGGATTCACAGTCCCTGGGCCTGGCCGTCCCCCCATGTACACACGCATACGTGTTGGCTTACACATTCCAGCTCTTTCTTCGCTGACACACAAACACAGTTTCCAATACACACTGGTAGATACACACACAGAGGCCAAGGCCGAGTCCTCAGATACATACATGCCTCCATACACACACACACACACACACACACACACACACACACACACACACACCCAGGCCAGGAACGCTCTCCTCCTCTACCCCCCTGCCTCCCATCTGGCGGCCCACCCTCACCAGCCCCCCTCCGGGCCCAAGGTGGGGACAGACACCTGAGGGGCTGCCAGCTGCACCCTGCACTGGGCTGGGCCCGCCCTCAAGTGTCTTGCCCATCCCGTCCACAGGGGACTCGTGGGGGATGCTAGCTTGCCTGTGTACTGTGCTCTGGCACCTCCCTGCGGTGCCAGCCCTCAATCGCACAGGGGACCCAGGGCCTGGCCCCTCCATCCAGAAAACCTACGACCTCACCCGCTACCTGGAGCATCAACTCCGCAGCTTGGCTGGGACCTACGTGAGTATCCAGGGCAGCTGAAAGGGTCTGGGAGTTGGGCAAAGAATGAGAAGACAAGATGGTGGAAGAGAGACAGAATGTTGGGGGGGGGGGGTTCCTGGTGAGCAATGGCGACCAGGGGGGCCCTTTGGTTCCAAACAGTCCCCATGTCTGGCCTATCTCCTGCCCTCCCCGCTTAGGTGCCCCCCTCCTTCCCATCCCTGGCCCCAGGACTAGGCATGTGGGCAGGCCTCGCACCCGCCTTGGCCCACTGCCCCACTGGCTGCCGGCCCAGCCGCCCGCCTCCCCCTGGGGGCCGGGGAAGTCTCTTCTGTTTACACCGTGTTGTGGTGTCTCTTGCACGGGCGGGGCTGGGTGGGGATGGAGGGGCCCCACCTCCCATGCCTGTGTTCCAGCTCGCCTCTGCCCCAGACCTGGGGCCCTGCTGCTCTGGACCCATGGGCCTCCCTTCTGTCTGCCTCTCCCATCCTAGCTGGGCCTCCTAGGGGGGACTTGGGGGAAGGGGGCTGCGGGGAAGCCAGGCCAGTAGTGGCAGGAGGTTCAGGGTGTGGATGGAAGTTGTGCCATAAGGATCTGGGGGGAGTCCAGAGGTGTTCAGAGAGCCCAGGAGAGAAGGAAAGAGGGTCAGAGTTGCCGAGGACCATGGGGACCCGGCCCCCTCTTCCCGTGTTCCTCTTCCACATCCTTCCACATCCCAGACCCTACTCTGGAGCCAGGGAAAGAAAGGGGAGGAGGGTGGCGGGGGAGCTGGCTCCAGCCCCAGGATACACCGAGGAAATTAGTTTGTCTCTGTGCTTGTCAGCGTGTGAACCTCCCCCTGGGCCCTTGCCTATCCCAGGCCTCGCCCCTCTCTTCTCCCTTTCTCTCCAGCTGAAACGTCCCCCTCAGCCCTTTCCCTGGGCCCCAGGCCTCTCCCTTGAGGGTTGGCAAAGCTCTGTGCTCTAGCCCAGACTGCCTCCTATACCCTTCCTCCTGCCGACTCTTGAGGCTGCCTCAGTTTCTTCCTTCTGCAGCCCTGCTCCCCCGAGCCCTTCCTCGGGGGACTTATGCTCAGTGAGTACCGTCTGCCCCCTGCCCTGCTGGTGGGACCAAGCGTGTCGGGAGGCAAACGGAGCTCCGATTCCCACGGGCCCCTCTGCCTTCCCACCCGCGCTCCCCTTCCCTGGCCAAAAACCTTTGCTTGACTCTGCTACCCCCTCTGGCTCCCGACCCTTTTTCTCTCCTGGCTTTCCCTGCCAAATTTCTCGAAGGAGTGGTCTACACCCTCTGCCTCCGCTTCCTCTCCACCCACTCACTCCTTAACCCCCTGCAATCTGGCCTCCAGGCCACTGAAACGGCTCTCTCCAGGGTCAGCAGGCACCTCCTTTTTGCCAAACCTGGCAGAATTTTCTACGGCTCATTCTCCTCGCTCTCTGTTTCGCAGCCACACTGTCGAGCACTGCTGCCTCTCGAACTCCTCTTCTTGGCTCTGCACTCTCCCGGTCCACCGTCCACCTCTGCGGCCTGGCCACCTGGGTCCTCCCGGCTCCTCTTCCTCTCTGCTCTGCCCCGCAGTGGGGGGGGGCACACTCCCAAGGCTTGCACACGCGGCCAATCAGCACGTCCTCCCTGAGTGTCTCCTGCGTGTTTTCCTCTTCCCACACCTCTCATCACCCCCACTGCCTCAACTGCCACCTCCGTGCAAATGACATCCCTGGAGAAACTTAGGGGAGGCCCTCGAACAGAGAGGCCTAGTGAGGAGATGGGGCCAGTGTCAGGGGACACGGGAAATAGACGCTTTGGGAGCACGTTATCTCCCGGTGGCCCTCCTCCTTCTCCATCGCCCTCTCCTTTTCACAGCTGAACTACCTGGGCCCCCCTTTCAACGAGCCTGACTTCAACCCACCTCGGCTGGGGGCAGAGACTCTGCCCAGGGCCACTGTCAACTTGGATGTGTGGCGGAGCCTCAATGACAAACTGCGGCTGACCCAGAACTATGAGGCCTATAGCCACCTGCTCTGCTACTTGCGTGGCCTCAACCGCCAGGCCGCCACGGCCGAGCTGCGCCGCAGCCTGGCCCACTTCTGCACCAGCCTTCAGGGCCTGCTGGGCAGCATCGCGGGCGTCATGGCGGCTCTGGGCTACCCGCTGCCCCAGCCTCTGCCCGGAACTGAGCCCACCTGGGCCCCCGGCCCTGCCCACAGCGACTTCCTCCAGAAGATGGACGACTTCTGGCTGCTGAAGGAGCTGCAGACCTGGCTGTGGCGCTCAGCCAAGGATTTCAACCGGCTTAAGAAGAAGATACAGCCTCCCCCCGCGGCGGTCACCTTGCACCTGGAAGCCCATGGCTTCTGATCTCTGACCCTGACCACCTCCTCTCTCCCCTCCGCCCTCAAGTCCTGCTCCCACTCTGGGAGGGAGAAACCCGTATGCCAACACCTGTTGAGCCAGGAGACAGAAGCCACGAGCCTCTGGCCCTCTGCGGACTTGGAGGAGGGTGTGATCGACAAGGCCTGTCCCCTCCCCGCTCTCTAAAGCCCTGCAGGTCTGGGGAAGAGGTGCAATAGGCTCCTGCCCCACTGCCACAGGAAGGAATGCTCACGGGGCCCGAGTGGTTCAAGTTGGTGCACAGGCTCTCACGGCTTCCTGCTTCCTGCCCAGCACTGTCCAGAGGCCACACAGTCTCTCACACGGTAGGCAGGGAGGGAGCCACCGCGGCATGCGCCTTTCTGGGGGGAAGCCCTTTGGCTGTCCCACTCTCCTCAGATGGGTGTTGCCCCCCCATCCCCAAATAGTTTAGTACATCCAAGCCAGGAAACAAACGCGTGGCAAGTGCAAATGGGAAGACATGGGATTTAAAAGTGGAAGAGGTGGGATCTGCATTGGAGATCATACTAGAAGCAGAGGGGCAGGGACAGACCGGACCCACGGGTCACCGAGGCAGCCGGTGGCACAGGACGGTGGCCTGAAGGACCCTGCCTTGCATCTTCTTGCCGGCGTCATGGTTCCTCCCCTCCCCCCCTCACCAGGGTATCTGCGGGTTGCCCAGGCTGGGGAGGGCAGCCATAGCCACAGCCGCAGGGTTTCCTGAAAGTTTACATTGCAGTAGCATTGCGGGGTGCGGGGAGGGGGGCAGCTCCCCTAGGCCCTGCCCCCCAGCCTCACCCACTCATGACTCTAAGTTTGTTGTATTAATATTTATTTATTTGGAGATGTTATTTATTAGATGATATTTATTGCAGAATTTCTATTCTTGTATTAACAAATAAAATGCTTGCCCCGGGACTTCATCTCTTTGCTTGGCCTGGTGCTTCCCCTCCTGGGCCCGCGCGCGCCTGGTGCCTTGCAGCCTGGAGGTCCAGGGGAGAGCTCGGAGGGGCAAAGCCTTGGGGAAGGGGCACTGCCCTGTCCACAGAGTGTGGCGCACACAGCACACTCTGCTCCTCCACCCGCAGCGTGTCCCTTGAGTCCTTCCAACATCTTCTCGTCAGGCCGCATGTCTTCCCCCCTCCCGGCCTTTGCTCAGCCCGCCTCACCTCTCTGGATTACTTTAAAGGTCTCCTAGGGCCGTGTCCCTGCGAAGCCGTCCAGCTGCGCCTCCGGGCAGCCACGCGTGGTCAGCCCGCAGCTTCCCCGGCACCCCCACGTGTGGCGGCCCGCTGGGTGACCCTTACCTTCTCAACACCCTTCATCTCCTAGGGAGCGTGACCGACTGTGACCACGTCACAAGTCGCAGGTGTGATTCTACTCCTTTCTTGTACACTCTCTTCACTGTAAGACAGCAGGTTAGGGGGGGTAAGAGAAAAACTCATAGTGCTCTGCAAGCAAGCAGGACAGACGTGATTCAGGGATGGCCTCAACTCCAAGCCCGGCCTCACAGCCTCCTCGCTGAGTGGCCTCGGACAAATTACTTAAAGCTCTCTATTCTCCAATTTCCCCATCTGTAAAATGGGGATAAGTAAATACCCGTCTAAGACTGTTTGAAGGATGAGAAGACCAATAAAGGCAAGGTGCCTGGCCGCCGCCGCCGCAGTGAGCAGTGACCACCAGGGACTTGTGACGGACTGGCCCGCACTGACACTCTAGTGGAGAGCCACTGGGTGGGTTATGGGGCTGACTGCTCCCAGGTAACACAGAGGTGTTTTACCAGGGCCTCCGAGAGACAGTGCCCTAAGCAAAGGAAGTAACAAATGACGGTGACGTCAATCGACCGACAAATCTTGTAAAGATCTGCCCATCGTTGTGCTAACTGGGACAGGAAATCCAACAGAAGCCCGAGACCGGACTTGGCTCCTGCCCTCACGGACTCTCTGGGAAGAGAAGACCAGCTGTCCCGAAGCTGCTGACGGGGGCTATTGGACCTGCTTGTGGGCGAGCTGGGTCCTGCTGAATGTCGCAGAGTCACCTGGCCCAGGTTGGAGGGAACATGGCCCGCCCAGGGGTCCAGGCTCTTCAGGCGGACATACGTGCCCAGACCCTGTCGGGATTTCCCGCGGGCCTGCTTTCTGCCTAGCAAGCTGGGGAGGAAAGGGCATCTGGGCTGTCTCCACACTGTGGCAGAATGAGTAGCAGCCTGGAATGTGTAAGGTGGCAGGGGCCTGTGCCGAACACAGGGAGAGGGAAGGTAAATCTCGTACTACTGAACTACGACTTTCTTAGGGGCAGATGCTGAGTTTTCCCCATCTCTCTATCCCCGTTCAGGCTCGAGCCCCCAGAAGGTGTTCAGTTAGTTTTGTGTTGAACAAAACAATCTAGAAAAGAGACTGGGACTCCCCATGCCCTCCCTTGCCCCCAGTGCTAGAATCCAAGGCAGACTATGCTCAACTGCAGAAAGACCCAGGCAAAGTACTTGGAAGTCAGGGAAGGAGCGAACCGCGTCCCTTTGGTGACGGTACTGGTCTGTAAGCCCTCTCGGGAGGCAACAGTGTCTGTAGTCACCGCTGTCCTTCCTGGGCCAAACACACAGCAGGTACTTCTGCACAGACTGTAAGGTAGGGTTCGCACAAGGGCAGGGCAAGGGTCAGTTTAGGGTGTCTGTCTCCTTTTTTTTTTTTTTAATGTGAGAGAGAGACAGAGAGAGAGAGGGAGAGAGTGGGGGAGGGGGGAAGGGCAGAGAAAGAGGGAGACACAGAATCTGAAGCAGGCTCCAGGCTCTGAGCTTCTGAGCCATCAGCAACAGCCTGACGCGGAGCTCGAACTCACGAGTCATGAGATCTTGACCTGAGCTGAAGTCCGAGGCTTAACTGACTGAGTCCCCCAGGCGCCCTGTGTCTGTTTCCCTTTTAAGCAGATAGCATCTCGAGGGCACATGCCACAATTTATTCATCCATTTGCATCCCTACAGCATTTTAGCACAATGCCCTGGACCGAACTAAAGTACTCGATAATTTAATACAAGCTGATTTAAAGAATGTCAAGACAATAGCGTATGAGAAGCCAAGAGAAGAGTTTCAGGGAGGCATCTGATCAACAGCGTCAGGTGCCCCAGAAGCGCTGAGAGGAGACTTGGGGGGAAACCCGCTGGGAAATCTGGACGTCACAGGCGACCTTTGCAGGAGCACCTGGGAGGTAGACACCACTTGTGAGATTAAAGGAGGTGATGAGAAAGAAGAACGTAAATGTATTCTCTCAGGCATTTGGTGGCCAAGCAAATACCTAGGCAGTAGCGGGATCAAGGCAGGTTTTTCGTGTGGTTGGTTGGTTTGCTGTTGTTTTTATTTATTTTTATTTATTTTATTTATTTATTTATTTATTTATTTTCAAATTTTTTAAAAATGTTTTATTTATTTCTAGGAGAGAGAGAGAGACAGCATGAGCAGGGGAGGGTCAGAGAGAGAGGGAGTGACAGACTCTGAAATAGGCTCCAGGCTCTGAGCTGGCAGTCAGCACAGAGCCCGATGCGGGGCTCGAACCCACGAACCTCGAGATCATGACCCAAGCGAAAGTCGGACGCTTAACCGACTAAGCCACCCAGGCGCCCCATGCTGTTGTTTTTAAACAGAAGACACGTAAACATGAGATTGCTGCGGGAGGGGTGGGGGGTAGAGAAGAACGGAGAGGGGCAAGCCGAGGAAGGGAATCATAAGGGTGCTGGGCAGCCACACGCAGGTACACACGTCTCTGTCATGGGCTGTGACGTTCCCGAGCAGGCCAGAGATGGCAGGAGGAGAGGACAGAGTGAAGAGAGGGCGCTTCCCAAGGCCGAGGACCCACAAGCAGGAGGGGCAGAGAGTTGAGGGTCAAGGGTTGAGGGTCGAGGGCCGAGAGACTCCAGAGGGGCTTTGGAGAGGCGGAGAGCTGCAGCACACCCAGGGGCCACGGTTGGTCGCAGGGTCGGGTCGGTTGCAGAGGGAAGCAGGGGAGGAGAGGGACCGGGGAAGGGCGTGCAGGCACAGAGCTTCTCGCCCCCATGGGGATGCAGAGGGGGCATCATAAGGCGCAAGGTGGAGGCGGTTGGACTCAGAGGACAGCGGAGCCAGAAAGGGCATTTCAGAGCCTGAGTTATTTTTATTTATTTATTTGTTTATTTATTTATTTATTCATTTTTATTTTGTTAACTTTTTAAATTTATTCGTGAGAGAGAGAGAGAGAGAGAGAGAGGCAGCATGAGTAGGGGAGGGTCAGAGAGAGAGGGAGACACAGAATCTGAAACAGGCTCCAGGCTCTGAGCTGTCAGCGCAAAGCCCGACGCGGGGCTTGAACCCACGAACTGTGAGATCATGACCTGAGCCGAAGTTGGATGCTTAACCGACTGAGCCACCCAGGTGCTCCCAGAGCCTGAATTCTTGAATTCTCCCCCAAATAGCTCCCTACTGATGGTGTCAGGATACCAGTCCCTCGTTCGGGTTTTGGTTTCTGGCCATGAGGCAGGTGGTTCATGATAAATGACAAGTCATCAGGCTTTTCTATGAATTTCTTACTGGTTCTCCACCCACCGCTGCTCCAGGGGAAGTGAGGAGCCTGCACTGGTTCTCTCTTAAGAGTGGCCTCAGCGGCGGGGGCCCCGGTACGCAGGGTACGCAGAGGTCAGCCTACAAACGTGGAATGCCTGGGGCCTGCGGTGCCACGGGAAGGAGGACATTGCTTCTGGAAGCCCTTCTGTCCCAGGAAGGCTAGGAAGAGTGGGGGGGAAGGAGAGAGGCTCTCCCCACCCTCTCCATCCAGACAGCTCGGGGCGGGTTAGGAAGCTCAGCATCCTCTTGGGTATCTGCAAACGCACGCGAGAATGTGCACAGGATAGAGACCGGTCACTTCGGGAGCGGGGGTGGGAGTGGGTGTAAAAGAGGTGGAGGGGTGGTCAAAGGGCAGTCAGGCCTCGCCAGCTTCCTGCCTTTGCAAAGACTGACCCGACACCCAGGACTTAGGGCCCTCTCAGTATGTGAAGAGACTCATTCAAGCGCTCATCTTACAGACAAGCACGCACAGTCACCCACTTGCCACAGCCACCCCGAATGGGGAAGGGCCAAGGGAGGCCCTTGTTCCCTGTAGCCTAGAGGGTAAGGGCCAGTGATCCAGGCCCCGGGCTGAGTGCTCTGATGGGTGGTTCCCTCTCAGCTCCCCCTTCTTCTCTGGAGCCACAATTGTCCCTGCCTTTGTCCCTTCAGTTCTTGAGCTCCCTGACTCAGCCTGGTTCCCCAATTCCCAGCAGCAGACAAAGCCCTTGTCAGTGGGGTGGGGGTGGGGACACTGAGGAAGTAGCCGTGAGGTTTAGAACCAGAGTTCCAGCCCTCTCTTCCTCTCAACCTTCAGGGTCTTGCAGCCTCCCTAGTGCAGAGGTCACCTCCAGGCCCCTCCCCAACCTGCCCTGATCTCTAAGGCCTGGCCGATGGGGTGGAAACTAACTAGGACCTTCCTCCCAGCTAGACAAAGTCTGACACCTGGTGGCCAAGGTGAGAAATGGCCAGAAGGATCCCTTTTCAACCGTCCCCAGAATTTCTCCAGGGCCAGGCTGGCCAAGGTGAAAGGGAAGGTAATGGGAGGAGGCTCAGAGGGGGTGGTTGGGACGAAGCAGAAAAGACAGCCTGTGGCAGAAAACCCCACCAGACGCCGGGGAACCTTTGCCTTCCATCCGGCTCCTGCCCCTCAAGCGTTGTCAAGCCCACAACGCTGGAGAACCTGGAGCCGAGAGAGGTGGGGTGTCTGGGAGGGTCCTGACGGACTCAGAGGAGCTGCCTGCAAGAATTCTGGTCCACAGGGTGGGGAATGGGGCCCACGGCGTGTGCGTATGTGGGGGCCAGGGCTCCGAGTCTGGCTGCCCAGAATCTCCAGCTCAGGGTGGGTGCCAGGGCCTGAGGGCCTGGCTGGGGAGAGGGAAGGAGGGCAGGCTACACCCACAGGCTTCTGGGGCCCCAGGCGGCTGGGTCTCTCTCTACCTGCCCCCACCTTCCTGGCTCTGGCTGGCTCTCTCCACAAGCCCCACTATGAGCTGGGGGAGGGAGAAGGAGCTCCTAGGGCGCCTGCGCAGTGCTGAGGCCCCCCCGCCCCCAACCCTGACACATTGTCCGAGCTAAGCCAGGCCTAATCCACTTCCCCTTGGAGAAGTAGGCAGTGGGCCTCCGCCCTCAGGAAGGTGCTGGGCCCCTGTTCAGGCTCTTCGCTCTCCTTTTCCCTTGAGGTCCCCCAAGACTTTGGTCTTGGCCTGAAGCGAGGCCCTTGAGTGTTCCCAGGCCGCGACGTGAAGGCCACTCCTGCCAGTCCCATCACCATCCTCCGGGAGTCAGAGCAGACCCAGAAACAGGCTCCTGGGTCTCGGGAAATTCTCTGAAGGACGGAGAACTTAGCCCCCAACTCAGACCTCTGGCCTGGCCCTCCGGGCTGAAGCCCAGGTTGTGACAGGCCCCACGGTCGCAGTTTTGGGGACAGACTGGGGGGCTGCCTGAGTAGGGAAACGGGTTCCAGGAAAAAAGGCGATGCGGGCAGACAGGAAAGGAAGGAAGAAGGAAAGACCAGAGGGTGGGCAGGCCGAGTTACGGAAGGGTGCCAATCGGACAGCGACGGCTCCAAAGCTCCTGGGTGGCAGCTCCTTTGAGCCTTGCAGCTCAGTCCCACTACTGCCTGACTAGGACAGGAGGGCGATGCTGTGGGTGGAGAGTTCCCTGAACTCCAGGCCGGAAAGCCGGTCCTAGGGTGCCTGCGCTTGAGCTGACTGCCTTGATGGGTGCAAGCTACAGGCCAGGCTGGGTGGGAGTGGTGGGCTGGGCCTGGGCCAGGCAGAGCCGGGGGCGGCTGGCGGGGACGGCCCAGACAGTGCCCGAAGAGCAGGTCAGGGTGCCAGAGGAGAGAGGGAAATGGGCTCGGGCGGCAGTAGGAGCCACTGTGGCCGCCCGGCGGCACACCCCATTTCACGCTCCCTGGGCGGTGGCAGGGCCCCACGGCTATCAGCTTTCATGGGTGGGAAGGACCAGGAATGAGGAGGGGTCTGCCCCACCCATGGCTTCCTACTCCGTCAGGGCTCTGTGGATTCGGGAGCGAGGTGCCACACACCTCTGGGAACGCCCTCTGGGGCGACCGAGGTCGGTCCCACAGAGCCTGGGCACCATCCCTCTGTAGCGTGCTCAGTGCCTGCCTGGACCCCCTCATCTCAGCCCTTCCCAGGCCTGGCGGAGAGAGCCTCCCTGCTTCCCTCCCCAGTGCAACAGGGCCGCTGTCTCCCTCCGTGTGGGCCCCACTTAGGCCACGAGGCAGATGGGGGATTAGGCCAGGCCCAGCCCAGAAAATACAGCAGGGAAGGGCCCTGCAGCTCTGTGTAGTGCACTGCCGAGCTCTGACTCCCACTCGGGCCTCCTTGAGGAAGTGGATGGGGAGAGCCAGGCAGGCGGAGGCCCCTGAAGACGTGGCCTGATCCTGCTCCTTCCCTGGTGCTCCGCTCTCCAGAGCACTTTCCCCTCTCATGCTGGACCCCAGAGCGGTGGAGGAGGGGCAGGCAGAAGCCTCTGCGCAGGCTCTCGGCCTCCTGGAAGGAAGACCTAGATGGGCTCTCTAGAGGGCAGTTAGGGTTGGGCTGGTCCCTGTGCTGATTCCCAGACTCCCACTGACCAGCGCTTTTGCCTGCTGCCAGGAAGTTGGTGGGGGGGAGGCGGGTGTAGGGGTGACTCAGCGATGACAGGAGCCCAAGGGACAAAGGTCATGGGCGGAGAATTGAGAGACACTGTTTACAGCAGCCTGCCTCCTCCAGGAGGTCTTCCAGTGCTAATCCAGGCCTGTGGTCCAGCTCATCTCTGACCCACCCTCTCCCCTGCCCTGTTTGTTAGGAATTTATCCTTGCGCCGACAACTTGTGTGTCCTGTTTCCCTACGCCGTTAGCCTCTGAGCTTCTGGGAGGGGAGGGCACAGACTGTGGTTTCACTGGGGCCCCACAACGCCCGAGACTATCAGCACTTCCTACTTTCAAGAACCATTTTATGGGGCGCCTGGCTGGCTCAGTCAGTGGAGCATGTGACTCGTGATCTCGGTGTCGTGAGTTCAAGCCCCATGTTGGGGGTAGAGAATACTTAAAAACAATCTTTAAAAAACTCATTTTACATCTATTTTAGTTGAGCGAGTATGTGGGAAAATGTGGAGAACAGTACTTGGCGTACTGGGAGTGCCACATAAGTGGTGTATTGTTGGTATTTTCTGCTCATACCGTCATATTGGTGAGAGGGCGGATTTTACTGATGAGAAACTAGGGATGCCAATACACTCCCGCCTCCTGCTCAGGGTGGACTCTTCCTGACCAGCGGGGTGGGCATGGGGCAGGCGCAGGAGCCCGAGAGTGTTGACAGGGGCGACGCTTGCCTGGACTGAGAGTGGGCAGGCTCTTTGGGCACAGACTGTGAGAAAGGAGCTTTGGAACCCATGGGCTTCTCCAGCCAGGTCTCCTGGGGCCAGTGGGGGTGGGGTGGGAGCCGGGAGGGGGCTGGATTAGCCCAAACTCTCTCCGGACCTCCAGACCTGCCCCCACAAAGCGCTACGGGACAAGGGCTGGGAGCGGAGGCTCCAGCTGGACTCGGGAGCTACCAACCGGCCCGGCCACGGAGATTAGTGAGGCTGAAGAGAACATTTGCCTAGGAAGGGAAAACGGGAAGTGACAGGCTAAGGGTAACGCTCTATAAGTCCCCCGAGACCCACTGCAGACCAGTGGAGCGGAGGGGGGCAGGAGGAGGTGGTGCAGCGGGGCATCTTGACAGGTCCCCCACCCCAGCCTCACCCCTTCTCCCCCAGAACACAGCTGCAGCAGCTGCTCCGCCCCCTCCGGCTGCGCCGCCTGCCATTGGCTGAAGTCGGGCCCCGCCCCACAGAAGTGGCCAACCATTGGCTTAGGTCTTTAATGTTTGCGTGCTTGTGGGGGTGGGGGACAGGCGTCATTCCCTGGAACCGGTGGACTTCCTCTCGGCTAGTCTGGGTCACCCTGTCTGCCCGTCGCTGGCCCCAGGCTCGCTCTCTGGCCCCAGCCCTCTCTCACTCTCTCTCTCAGCAGCTGTCTCTCTCGCGCCCGCTGGCCGATCTCCTTCCCCGCAGTCGCCTCCTTCTCTGCCTGCCTGGGTGGCCGCCATGGGCCGGAAGCGGCTCATCACTGACTCCTACCCTGTAGTGAAGAGGAGGGAGGGCTCCGCTGGGCACAGCAAGGGGGAGCTGGCACCAGAGCTAGGTCTCTTAAGTGTGTGTGTGTTGGGGGGGATGGCGGGAGCAGTGTACACCACCGAGGGGCATGAGAGGACGTGGGTGGGCGTGGGTAATGGCAGGGGAAGTGAAGTACGTCCTCTACTTCCTAGTCCAGGCCTGGTAACGGCCGGCAGAGGCGGAGGGGCGGTGAGGGCTGGGGAGCAGGGGCGCAGCTGTGAAGTGAGAGGCAGGGGGCTGCCCTTGCAGGGCACAGACCTGGGCAGGCCTGAGGAGCAGCATGTCATTGCAGGGGAAGAGCCCCAGCCCCTGAGCGTGGATGACCTGGGCAGGCCTGAGGAGCAGCATGTCATTGCAGGGGAAGAGCCCCAGCCCCTGAGCGTGGATGACGCAGAGCTGGAGCTGCTGAGGCAGTTTGATCTGGCCTGGCAGTATGGGCCCTGCACAGGTGAGAGACTCTCAGGCCCCGGGAGCTCATCCTGGTGACAGTCTTGTCATCTGCACGTCCCTGAGGCAACCCAAGCCCCTGCCTGACCCTCTTGGGCACTGCCTCCTAAGACTGGGGGGTGTGGAGATCCCAACACACCCCTCCACACACATTGTCTAGCCTGGACTCTTCCCCACCTGCTATGAGGTCCCAGTGACTTCTTCCCACCCCGGCAGGGATCACACGGCTGCAGCGCTGGCATCGGGCAGAGCAGATGGGCTTGGAGCCACCCCCGGAAGTGCGTCAGGTGCTGCAGATGCACCCTGGAGACCCCCGCATCCAGTACAGGTCAGAGACAGGCCCGGGAGGGCTTTCAGGGGAGCCAGGGCTTTCGTCAGGCACCAGCAGCCTACTGGCCCAGGTGGGGCCGCCATGACCTGAGGAAGAAATGGAGGAAGGCTTCGGGGCCTTGCTGAACGGGCAAGCAGGCTCTACAAGGTACCTGGCTCAGGAAGGCAGAAGATTGCTTTAATACTTCTTAACTCTGAGCTAACAGTGGGGGAAGAGTGCACCCCAGGCCCAAGGGACTGTCTATTTAGTACCAAGGGGTTGGCCAAGGACTATAGGCCATGGCCAAGAATTGGGGTAGGTGAAATCAGACCAAGGACTTAACTGACTCTCTCTGATTTTTCCCTCCCCTCCCCTTGCACAGCCTCTGGCATGTCTATCCCCTTTGAGGTGCCACCTAAGACCTGCCTGCTATCCCGGGACCTCAGGACACAAGTGGGGGTCAGTTGCTGCCCCCTTGGCTCAGTTCTGCCGTGAAGAGTGTTTGGCTGTGAAGAGGAGAGAGGCTGAGTCTGGAGGTCTCAGCCTGCCATCTAACCAGCAGGCTCCTGGAGCCCCCTCTGGGAGCCAACACAGCTGAAGCTTGCACTTCCTACATGGAGAGTGGTCTCTGAGGACAAGGACTTGACCATGACCCTTCAGACGCCTGCTACACACCTCCCTAACCACGGTCCGGGGAATAGGGTGGCAAATAGGCACAGCCTTGGACAAAGCCAGACTCAGGCAGATATCTAAGAGGCAAAGCCACGCTCCCCACTGAAGGCTGGGAATCTGAGGGCAGAACTGGCAAGGGGTTCACTAAAGTTTTTCAATAAAGAACAGTCTGGAAACTTGACCTCCAGTGCCTTAATGTGGCCCTGTTTGGGCTGGCAGCAATCAGCAAGTTGATAGGTGGGAGAGAGCCGGTGCTATGCTTTCCCTCTGCGGCCCAACCCTAGACCTGAGATGGAAGAAAGACGCCTTTAATAGATGGTGGGACAAGTCCGCATTAGAGCTGAGTGACCTCTGGCACCCCCTCGTGGTGTACAGGAAAACTACTCTTTAGTCACCTTCAAAGAGCAGCCAGAGAAAACCTACAGACCTGCCATCTGGCTTGCCCAGTGTGGCCCACCTCACAAACGTGGGTCCTTTGTCAGAGGAGAATCCATAGGGCCCACACACCATAAAGTCCAGACCTACGCATTCCTAGCAAGCACCTCTCCTTCCCACGTTGGGGCTACCTGGATCCGAAATACAGTTGGGGAGGCTTTCAACCTGCGGCTCCTGCTCAGAGATGGGCATCGTCTGATGGGCTTTGATGGGGAACTGGGTGGAGCAGAAGCAATGCTTAGGGGGCCCTGGGATGGTATGACATGGACAATGGAGTCAGTACCCCTCACCCTGTGTCTACCTTCACTGCATCCTGAGCAGAGACTGCACTACTATTAACTCCTTGGGGACAGGCCTACAGAGCAGCCAAGTGGCCCCCTCAGCCCCCACTGTAGTGGGTACTGCCCGTGCCTCAAGCTCTTTAAATGAATAGTCTCTCAAGTTCCTAAAGGGCCATCAAGGTAGATTTTACACAGGAGGAGCCGAAGCCCAGAAAGGCCCTGTGGGGTCGCCCGGCAGTACCAACAGGTACGTGGTGGCGCAGCGGTGAGAGGCCACATGCACCAGGCTCTTCCCACCTGTGCCCGCCGTGCCCAGGCCCCCACCCATTTGCTGAGCACCTTCTGTATGCCAGGCTCTTGAGGTCCTCTTGGGTGTTGTGAGGAGGTGAGAGAAGACACGCAGGTAAATATGTCACGGAGTGGTCAGTGGTAGGCAACATCAGAGTTAGAGGTCAAAGAGTGCCAGGGGTGCTTAGAGAGGTTGACCAGGGAAGTTCCCTGACAGGATGGCATTTGACCAGAGACCTGAACGAAGCACAGGAGCGAGCCTTGCACCTATGGGGCGCTCGGGACCGAAGAAGCAGCAAGCACACTCCAGCAGGCAGGAGCATCCGCAGGCTGGCCCAGGAAGAGCCTGGAGACCAGCGCAGCCAGGGCAGAGGGAGTGAGGGGAGTGCAGTGGGAAATGGGGCCAGAGAGATAGCAGGTCAATCCCACAGGCCTTTCAGGCCTAGACAAGGAATCTGGATTTTATTCTGAGATAGGAAGATATTGGTGGGTTTTAAGTCAACAAATGACATAATCAAGCTTATGTGTTGAAAACATTACTCTGGCTGTTGGTGGAGAACCAATTGTGCAGTTGGGGGAAGAAGAGGCAGCAAAACTGCTCAGGCTTCTGGGGTCGGCCTCAAGAGAGGTGAGGGTGATTTGGACCAGGGTGGGGAGATGAGTCGGTTGTGGGTTAGAGAGAGAGGAGCGACAGAGAACTCCAGAGGCTTCAGCCTGAGCAGCTGGGAACTCAGAGCTCCCATGACAGGGATGCGGAAGACTCTGTGAGGGGTGGGGCGTGCTGGGGAATCAAGAGTTCGCCCCTGAAGTGGCTGACACCCCAACGGAGCAGGGGAGCAGGCGGTAGATAGGCCAGCCTGGAATTCTGGGGAGCTCTGGATCTGAGATGTAAATGTGGACGTTTCTTCGGTGGCATTTAAAGCCCTGAGCATGAATGAAGTTACCTCAGTGAGTACAGACAGAGACAAGAAGTGGTCCGAGGACGGCCTGGGCCTTCCATGCTTAGAGGAGCGAGAGGAGACTGTGGGCAGCAGGGCCGGGGGAAAACCAGGAGGCGTGGGCCTGGGAGGCCTGGACATAAGGCATTTCAGGGTCTCAGGTGCTTTGGAGAGGCTGGTAAAACGAAGCCTGAGGGCAGAATGCTGGACTTGGCAATGCAGAGGTCACCGGAGACGAGAAGTTTCCACGACTGCCAGGTAAGAGTGCTTCTGCAGTGGGCCCAGAGGGAGTGGCAGCAGAAAGCAGAAAGGTGGTAGAGCTCTTTCAGCGACTTTTACTGGAAAGGGGAGCAGAGGAATACGGTAGTGACCAGAGGGACGTAGGACCCAAGGAGGGGTTGTGATGTGTCGTTTTGTGTTTTGCTTTAGAGACAGCGGCACTACAGCATGTCACACAGTGAAGAGGGTGAGCAAACAGGGAGGGTACTGATGCACAGGAGACGGAGGCAGCAGCCATACGAGTGAGGCCTTTGTGAAAATGACAAGGGCCAGGACTAGCACCCAGAGAGGGGGTGGCCTCAGCTAGGAGCATCCAGCGTGACAGAGAGGCCAAGGATGTGGGAGTAGATGCGGGTGGGAAGGTATAGTAATTGGCGGGAACATTCGAGAATCCAATGTTTGCTGAGAGCCCCATGCAGCTGGGAGGGGTCTGGCGTGTACGCAGGGGCCTGCGTGCCATCTGCTGGGCCGGAAGCGCACATTGCTCCTTGTCTAGCTGGCCTGGCTGACTCAGAACACTCTCATTAGATCGGTATCAGCCACAGTCGACAGATAAGGAGGCTGAGAGGAAAAGCGACTTGCTCCATCAGGAAACCCCAGGGCCTGCCGCACAGCCGGGGCTGCCTTCCGCTCTGCACTACCCCACAGCTGCACCCCACTGGCCTGCGCTCCGGGTGCTGAGGGTGCTATTGGAAGAGACGAGATCTACCCTTGTGGAAAGTTACAAAAACAACGTAATATACAGGCTACTTTGGGGCAACTGGGAGTGGTATAGACACGGAGTCCTCAGGAAGGAGAGAGCACTGCGTTTAAAAGGACGCTCACTGTGGGGACCCTGAGCACAGGGACAGCCACCTCCCGCTACATTGGTCGTCCCTGCCTTACTTCATCACCTCACCCCTTCCGTTGCAGAATGAATGCAGACCCCTGCTGCAGCTGGAGGGTGGCCTGAGAACCTCCACTCTGAATATTCTTTTTTTTAAATGTTTGTTTATTTTTGAGAGAGAGAGAGACAGAGACAGAGACAGAGACAGACAGACGGAATCTGAGGCAGGCTCCAGGCTCTGAGCTGTGAGTGCAGAGACCGACGCGTGGGGCTCAAACTCATGAGCTGTTAGATCATGACCTGAGCCGAAATCGGACGCTTAAACAACTGAGCCACCCAGGCGCCCCTGAATATCCTTACTAGTTGTTTCTTTTTACTTCAAAATCCTCAGCCAGTTTTCCATTCTACTCCATGATATGACTGGAGCGGCTGCTGTAGCTTTAAAAATGGGTAAACTCACTTGTCAAGTAAAATGACCCCTCCGGGAAGATGTGCTGTGCTTGCGTGGCTGGCCTGACAACACCCGGCCAGGTGGAGCAGACCTGCAGGAAGTGGCAGAGAAACGTTGATCGGAAGTAAAATGGGCGTTCAGTGGCCCATGAAGGGTGAGTAAGAGTAGATAGGCAGAGAAGAGCATTCTAGAGTGAGGGACTGGGCGGAGCAAAGGTAACGAGGAGAGGCGGACGCGTGCACCCAGGGGACAGGCGTGCACACTGTAACACTTGCTTAATGAGAAATCAGTGCAATAAACAGCTAGCATTTCAGTGCCTACTGCATATCCAGCACTGTTCTAAGTGCCGTTTATCCTCTCAGATGCTAAACTCTTTATGAAGACATTTTAAAGAGAAGATTCAGTCACAGCAAGGTTAAGTACTTGCCCAAGGGTCACACAGCATGTAAGTGTCGGGAATATAATCTGATGCGTGCACTCACGTCACGGAGCATAAAGCCAGCAAGAGGGGCTGGGGCCAAACATGGGGCCTGGAGTCTGATGCCAAGGAATCTGGCCTTATCCACAGTGATGACAGCCCCTGAAGGCTGGTGAGCAAGAGAGAGAGAGGATAAAAATAATCGTTCTGGAGAATCTGTCTGGCAGGTAGGAAGACAGACCAGCGGGGAAGAAGCTGCAGGCACGGGGAACACAGCAGAAGCTATGACATACTCAGGACGTGGGTGCCGAGACGCTGGATTAGCAGACAGATGGCAGGGGGCAGGGGGCAAGGCTGTGTTTGGGAAGGGAGGAGTGGGGAGGAGGAGTCCCAGATGACTCAGGATTTGCGCATGGGTGCGTGAGAGGAGCCCGATGCCATGGGCAGAGAAATGGAACCTGGGAGGAAAGGCAAGCTCGACTTCGTGCCTGCTCAGTTTCAGGTGTTGACAGGACTCCCAAAAGGAAACAGCCGGTAGGCGGTGGCACGCGAGCGGGCACGTCCAGCGGCGAGGTCGGGAGAGGCGGCATCCAGGGCAGCGGGGGGCGCCTGCACAGAGGCGCGGGTGGGTTCTCAGCGGGGCAGGGCGGACAGGGAGCTGGGAGGACGACAGGACCAAAGGCGGCTCTCGGGAAATCCCTCTAGAAGGTGGGAGACCAGCAGGGAAGGGAGAGTGGCCGAGTGGCAGGGGAGCCGAGGCAGAGCAGGGCCCGGGGGTCCCCGAGGACTTCGTGAACGGCTGGTGTCATGCTGCCCGATGTCAGAGAAGAGATCGTGAGGAGGAGCTCGGCCCACGCTGCCTCTGTCCTCGCATCTCCCGTGTCTCTCTGTCCCCATGCTGCCATCCCCAGCTGCCACGGTGACTATGAGTGCCACACCCGTCGACGAAGGCCACACTGATTCATTCTCTCTCTAGTGACTCAGGTGTGGCAGCTATTTTCCACCCTCAAACTCAAACATACGCGCCGGTAACGTCAGGCTTGAGCTGATTTGCCAAGAAACGCAAGGAACTGAGGGAGAGGAACACGTTTCCGAATGGGGCTAGGAGCGGAACGCGGCCTCCGCAGCAGCAGCGCCGCCTCCAGCACCCGTGGGACCCTCCACACACACTTCTTCACCGACTGCGGACCTAGAAAGCAGCTCTGTGCCGCGCTGGCAGGTGCGGGCGGCGGGCACTCGGGCGCCTGGAGCGAGGAATCTCCGGA